AGCCAAAATAACAACAACTGTTCGATCAGTGATTGAACTGAACCTTGCCCGCATCCCACCGTTACCTAAGGTAGACGGATCAATCGGCTCGAATTCCGTGTCCACACCAGCTTCACGACCGGTGGCCTGAGGTCTCAGTTCGTCTGGACCGTTGTGAGATATTAGTGCCACATTGCCAACTGATTGGTCCCCGGAAGCGTTTGTTCCATCTGAAGATAGGTTGGGTCCACGCGGGTGACGAACATCAGATGAAGGTGAACCAAGGCGATTGCCCAGTCGATAAGTGTTCAGCGCTTGGAGCAGTTGACTATTCTATCCAGGTTCACGGTGCAATAAACAAACATAGCAAATTAGTTTGGAAAATGAATTCATTGATGGGGGAGTGGAGAATTCAAGGGTGCATGAATAAATTATTTTTCAATTCAAGTTAAAAAGATAATAAATGGGCTACTTATGACCGGACCGGTTTCTGGCGACTACAGCGATCAATATTATAATAGTAGAACCTTCTCACTGGACTAATAAATGGAAAAAACTCTATTCAATTTGTGTTATTAATTTAATCGAAAAGATTGAAACGTGCTGCGAAAACACAAATGGATTCTGAAGAGCAATCAAATGTAAACGAGACCTATCTCTCCAAGAGAAAAGAAGAAATGCGGCTAATTTTCAAGGGAGATGAAAGGACAACTCAAATCTCCCGTAGCTTAACACACTTCGGAGAAGGAAAGTATAGTACAACTTCACTAATCATTTTTCAATGACCAGTTCTTTGTTTCAACCATGATTATCTAAATTAGGGAGACGTTAGTGTTACCACCAAGTGTATCCATTCATTTCAATGTACCGGCAGTTAGAAATACGTCGGAATGTTCAAACTACGGTCGGATGTAGTCGCACTGCATTTTCCACCACATCGCTGAACTTCTGTCACTAATCTAAAGCAACAAAAGTGTTTCGGTGTCATTAAATGGCCTGGATGATCAGGGGTTTTGCAAATCCTTAAAATGGTATTTATTCATTACTTGAAAAAGCAGTTAAATGTTCAAAACATATTTGTGACGCAACTGTTGTTGCCTCGTCAGTAGTTACCACCCGCATCTACCAACTTGTTTTAAAGAGCCCAATTTCATAACTTATCACTTTATTTTGTTATCCAGTTTAACCTTCCTCTGCAAATAAACCCAGTGATATTACAGATTATCAGTCACTTAGTTCTAATGATCGGCTTCTATTTTATGCTTCATTGTTTGGTAGAATTGTATAAATGTGCGTTTATAGCTAAGCGAGAGCACGCAAACTTGACGGCCACTATCCATGTCTCCTTCAGTCTTTTGCAATTCTCATTCGTGTTTTTAGAAAAATATACAGTGTGGCAAAATATTTACTGGGTCATCTACTAAAACAAATGAATGTTTTCATTGGAACAATCAGAAAGTAAACAATTTCGAAACCCCTCGAAACGTGGATTTTTGTTTTCGCTTTTATTGTAACAGCTTATCTACTTTAATGAATGCACCCTTGAAACTGCCTTATTTGAAAAGAAAACCCCGCTGTCACGCGAGCACATGATAGCTCACACTGAAGAGCGCGGAAGCACAGTGTCACATAGGAAAACCAGTATGCCTGAGTAAATTTATACAAGCTAGTGTTTACAATAACGGTGTTCGTGTGCGTCCAACCGTGATCGTAATTCTCCGTATTCAGCATCTCTGGCCAACCTAGTCAATCAATCGATTGCTCAGCATCCCAGTAAACAGTTTGGCCATAGACAGGGCGAATTTTCTTATACATGAGTGATCTTGAGTACGTATGGATGACAAGTAGGCAGATCGTTCCCAATGAACTATAGTGTACGTTCCGAACCAATCTCCACTTCCCACCGTTTCGGATTCTGTTTAAAATCGGACTTAAATGGGAACCAGTGCACCAGGATTGATAGATCACGTCAGTAGGGAAACCGATGAGATGGAATATGTTGACGAATTCATGAATAAACATTCTTAGTGACTCAAGTGGTTTTGAAGGAAGAGGTCAATAATCACAGTTCTTTTCCCACTGACCAAGGACATTGCTTGAGTGCGCAATGAAATATCCTTGAATATGTTTGAAGGGGCACGATTGAAATACTTCCGAAGCGATGTATGGAATCTATTGGTGCTAACTAAGCGATGCTTGCGGGGTTTATTGACCCGGTTCATCCTTAGCCTAACCAGTGCGGATGATAGGCATTATTCGCATGATATACTCTCATGTACTTCCCATATCCAAGAATTAGAAATGAATTGCTCAATAACAATTTTACTTCTAAATACTGTGATAAGTATGTTGAATTATTGAAATAGGTTAACTGACTTTGGGAAGAACAACAAGTAACTGCCCCGTAATGTCGCAGTTTTATTGGATGAATATATTTTACGCTGATTAAACAAACCTGCATTAAACTACTATTAAACCTTTTCTTTCATTAACTGAACCTAGTGATTCACATATCCACTTATTCATTTCGACAGACGAGTAATGCACTTACATGTGCTCGAACTGTAACCGTGGTAGTTGTCTTACGCTGTTGTGGTCGACCCAAATCATGTGCACCAATCACCAATAAGTAATTTGCCGACTGGTCCGTGATTTTCTCCACCACAAACACTATCCCTGTCGTGGCATCGATGGAAAACAATCCGGACTTGGCCGAATTTTCCGAGGCAGATGAGGATGACTTCCCTATAGCCTCCTCACCTTCACCTCTCCCTGACGAATCGGTCAGATCAGTAAGATGCTGACCAGAGCGATCAAAATTTGCCATAGACAGAGTAAAACGAACTGTCCCGTTCTCCCCGGCATCCGGGTCGTGAGCGACAACGGTAAACAAGTTATGCCCTGCCGGTGCTCCGCTCTCAACATTGATCACTCCGTGCGGAGTTGGATAGGTGATGATAGGAGCATTGTCATTCACATCAGCTACAATCACCGTCACAGTGGCTGTGGATGTGTGCGATTTGGTCGAATGAGCTGTGCTATCCATCTGGTTTCCAGTTTGCCATGTCCGATCTGTATGACCTTCTCGAGGGTTATCGATCGCCAGGACGTAGAATATATGATGACTCTGTTTCTCGCGGTCCAGTTTTCGTATCAAATGTAACTGACCGGATTTTGCGCTGATAGTAAAAAGCATATTGGTTGTAAATCGAGTTACTCGCGAGCCGTTGTTTGAAGTGGATTTCTCGATCGCGGAGGGATCTGTCACGTCATAAATTTGATAGACAATCTGAGCGTTTGCATCTGCGTCCATATCATGTGCCTCAACTGCTCCAATTGAGCCACTCTGAATAGGTTGCTCATTCTCAGACACCACAAATTCGTACTGTGATTTGGAGAACACGGGAGGGTTATCATTCACATCGCGAATCAATAAACGCACTTTTGCTGTACTGTTATGCAACCCATCCGTGGCCATCACACCGAAGTGCAAATAGACCAATTTATCTCCTTCAACTTCCGCACGAAGCGTATCCGTTTGGGGATATTCGCCCTGCTTCACTTTGAGCAATATGTCTTCACGATCGAACTGATGCAAGGCGAAGATTTTACCACTTTCCGGTTCGATACGAAATTGGCTCAGCAAATCTTCCGCTAGACTGTAGATAACCTGACTTGTCGAGTCCTGATCCGACGCGCTCACGCGCCCCACGAACAACTGGCTGTCTGATGTCAGCATCAGGTGACCCCGAACAACGGATCCATCAGCCTCGTCCATAATGAAGGAGTATTGGGTGCGAGAGAATTTGGGTATGTTATCGTTCTCATCGATAATCACTACTCGGACCAATGCGGTTCCCGTTAGTTGAACTGTACCGGCCGTTGGTGCAATAGGTCCGTACGAGGATTGTGATGTAAAATACGGATTAATTGGGTTTTCATAATTTGCCGAACTGCTTCCAATGTACTGGGGATTATCCACGCAGATAATGTGGAAAGACACCTGAAATACACCATGTGAAACAAATTCAAATATAGTCCAAACGACAATGATCGGAATCAATCTGGCATCAATACAGCTTATCTGGTTTGATATGGTAAACGATATATTATTAGCAGTGTAATGTTTACAGTCCATTAATATTGAATGAAATTTGCATACCCAACCATCAGGAAAAAATGCACATTTAATGATCCAAAGAAGTCACATAGCCAGTGATTTGAACAACTCTTTTTACATGCATCCAGTCCGCTTTTGATGTCCCGTTTGATCCCCTTCACTTTGCCTACAAACCAAATAAGTGCACGCTAGTTGCAGTTTCTTTATCTGTTCATAAAATTATTAACACTTTGAATGACTCAACGAAATCTGTGCATTGTGTACTTCTGGAATACTCATCTGATTTTGGTTCTATTCCCCAATTCCCTCTTTTCGGTTAATTGGGGATCTTCGGTTGTCGCAAAAGCCTGGTTTACTGATTCCTACTTATCCAGAAGAACTCAATGCATGACGAGCGGTCGAAAGAAGTCCAACCCTAAAGTGAACAGTCTCTGGGTACTCACACTTAAAGTCATTTTCCATATCTATTTTCTAATTATATTGGCGACCGTTTTGCTAACCCACCCACTTATCCCGTTCTTTCATTACATCTGATCCGGTATCCATTACCTGTATTCCAGCATCCCGGGCAAGGTGTATCAAATACCTGTTTTTTATGGACAATGATTTTCATCGAACGGCTCACATAGAACTAGGCACCTTTAATCTTCGACAACTTTTAGACAAGCTTCAATTTAGAATTCAGTAGTCGAGCATCTCTGAATTTGTTTTACTTTCTTGTTCACTTGTCTTATCTAATCTTATAGGGAAAAAACCTTAGGCTTCTGCTTCCATGATGGTCACCATTATTCACATCTCTTCGATCCCGCTGGAGGAACTACAAACTAATTTGTGTGAACATAATTTGAGTATTTTGTTTAATATTGGACCATTCAACCGGGGAAATAGAAGAACGGTGCATAAATGATGTTTATTTAACTTGAAAAAAACGGAAGATAATTCACTGCAAGGACTAAGCAGCAAGTATGGGCAAGAGCTACACAAGGCTTGATTGATTGAAGAATATACACAGCTATGCAACCCTTAAGAAGCGGGTGAAACATGCAAGAGAAATAGCCGATAAGACCAAGGTGCAATTTTTATACATTGTATTCAATCAAGTAATACGTAATTGTAGCATAGATCCACATAGTATTAGATTATAATTTACTTTGTGTATCAGCTTCGACTGGCACCAAGCCGTCTACGGTACTATAAAAGAGACAATTTTACCTTGAACCATTGAACGTTGTGGCAGCTCAAATCGATTGGGTTATAACAGTTGGAAGGCTGATCCGAATCACGTGATAATTCATGATAAAAATGTCAATTTAGATTGCCCCGAAAAAAATAATAGATATTTAAGGGCATGATGTGCTGAAGGGCTAACCCGATTTCAGTCATCCAGTCTGAGATAACAACTGATCGACTACATGTGCAGAGCTGCAAGCATTCACGGCTGTCGTTCCATCACCTATTTACTATGCCTCACACATCACACTGCTCCGCTCGAATTTGCGTTGGACCCCATAGGAAGCTTCACCATGGTTGGGTCACTTGTACCAGTGGGTGTTTCCTTAACCTTTATTTTAACTACTACCGAGCCTTTGATGATAATTTTGTGATGAATCGGGATACTGTTTTCGAAAACAGTAAACCAAAATTCCCAATGGTGTAAGAGGGAAGCAGATGTGGACTAGGAAGTCAAAATTTTGAATGATTTCTCCTTGTAATTACGGTGTACATGTTCTTATCCTCACTTAATTGTTGACTGATGTTGACTCATTAATATCATGGTTTTTAACCAAGCTTAGATGTAGTTAACACTAATTAAAACCAAAAATTCCATTGAGGCAGAGAATTGATCCGACCACCCGGAAGTGATCCAGATAGTTTTCAACAATGAAAACTATTTGTGAATTGAAATAAATTTCTGCAATAGAAAAGTACCAGTGTTATATCTCCCTCTTCAACAATTTGTAGTCATGCTGGCGAACAAAAGTCATCTGTTTGGTTATGAACTGATGAGAAAAAAACAAAAGTTCCCATTGTCATCCTCGAAAAACCCTTGTGTTGTTATCCTTGACTTGTTCGAGAGTATACTGAGGCCAGTTCATGATTAATGAAATTCGGGATGGCCTAACCTTTGATACAAGAACATGAAAGCAATATGCAAAAATGTAAATTTACTATAGGCTGATAATCACAGTAACGACTAAATGAACTAAACTAATATTGATTTATTAATTAAATTGGATGGATGGATGGATGAATGAATGAGTAGACGCATAAGCGGACAAATAAGTGAGTTGACCGATAACTCTGCTCACCTCAGATGTTTGTTCTCGATCGAATGGCTTTGTGGCGAGTAGTTTAAAACCTGTCTCTCCAACACCAACTTCAGCACCACCGACGGATTGATGCAGTGGAATAAACTGACCCAAAGAATCACCTGCACCGGCAGGTGCTTCGTTCACCGGAATCAATTCGAATGCATCGTTATTTGTGAAACAACGTACTTGACCCCAAACACCAGAATCAAAATCCTGCACTGTTACAAATGCTATAAAAGCCCTATCGGAATTCTCCTTCACCTGACCGTGGTTTCGTTCTCCCGGAGTTGGTGCCCGACCGAAATCTAAACGACTCGAGTGTTGATTCCCAGTCTGAGTGGTGGTCAGGTAACTGACAAAAATACTCGGTGGCATATCATTCACGTCGAGCACCAGGACGGTAACTTCAGTTCTTGCAGACAATTGACGAGGATATCCATTGTCCCGAACAATCGCGTGGAATGTGAATCGTTTGCCCACTTTTTCCGCCAGATTGGTCAACTCATTTTGTGAGACTAAATTCCGATCGGAGAAAGTCGTTTTGGGTGCTGCATCAACATCCGGAGTTTGAATGACATAGATGGCCGCCTGTGTCGGTGATATGGTACGAATACCGAAGTATTGCATTGCCAGACGCTCTTGTGAGTTAGTTGGTGGAGCCAAACCAAACGTTAACTGAAAGGTTCAAGCATATAAAAAAATGACTGATGAACAAATTTTTGAATACTGTTCATGTAAATACATTTTCAACGGACACCAATAACTTGGGTAACCCCGAGGTCCATATCAAATAAGCAGCTACCTGGAATAAATCACAGATGATGAAATCTCGTTTTACTTATTAGGAGTTGTAATGACAACGTGCAGCAGCAATCAGACTTCTCCGGCCTCCATCTTTGAAAACATAACTTATCCTGGTGACACAGCAAACTATCCTACCACACTATCATAGTTACAATTACCAAGTTCATATACATTTTCATCGTTAGCTTTGATCGCTCGACAGCAATGCTTCCTTACTGTGGAAACAATAGGTAAGCCAAAACATATGACAGATTTTAAATTCCTTTAACCAGAAAGTCGGTATGGAACGATCACAATGTTGAGAGACAATAAAATCGCCAAAATTATTGAAATCCTTTCGGGTGAAAGGGGAATCCAAGTTGTCAACACATCAGACAAAAAGCATCTCAAGAAAGGTATTATCATAAAAAGGTTACAGATGTTATTGCTACATGACCACAAATATGAAGTCCGACGGAGCTAAATGCAACTGGGGGGGGGGGCGGAAGGG